ATGGAAGACCTGTCTCTCTCTCTCTCTCTTCCTGTCCTCTCTCTGTGTAACTCTGACTTTCAAATAAATAAATAATCTATCTTTAAAAAAAAGAGTAGAGGTTTTAAAAAGTGTGTAAAACATTATTCTATCTGTTAATTTTGTAAAGTATCTCAAAGACAATGAAGTGAATATAGAGCCCATAAAAAATAGAAAACTATCGTAACTTTGACTAATTTAAATATACACTAGATAATCATTGGTACTGGTAATTATTGTTCCATTTCTTCCCCAAGTGTTAAGCATAATTCTTTTTATTTTATTTCTTTATGGCTGACATCCCATTTAAAAAGCTGGTCAGTTAATTCATTGAATTCATCTTTGTTTAGCCAAAAAAAGTAACTGAACGCATTCCACTAAGCAGCATAATTTGCCTTATTCAAGGAAAAATGAGGAATTAAAGAGCTGAACGTTTTGAAAACTTTATTGCGGGGGTATGGAGAACAACAGTGTCTGGATTCTGGCATGCTTGTTTATTTTATTCACGTCCTGGAAGGGGAAAGTGGTTCAAAAGAGCAACACTAAAGGGTGTTTGCTACACTCATTTTTGAAGGTGACAGTTGGGGAGTGTTTGCCCTCATCACAGGGATGTGAGCCTTTGCCCCACAGCCTAGGAGGGTTATCCTGTCTGCACTCACTATCCTCAGCCCTCTTGGCCTCTAGTTCCTGTTATCCTAGCCAATGATCTTAGCTGCAATTGGTGGTAGTGGATTCTCTCTAACCTTGGTAAACAGAGCTAATTGGCAAAAATTGGGGTGTTAAAAGAATCTCAGATCAGGTTGGAGAATCTGCTTTGGGGGCAGGCAGGTGGGGAAGTGAGATGGTAGAATTGCATCAAAGACACTACAGGATCACCTGGTTAGGCTGCCCTGGTTTTCCTGCTGGCACTACCAGCACCCCCTGCCATTTGTTATCAGTTGGTAGATTTTTCACTTTGTTTCTCTTTATCTTTACACATACACACTTAAAAATTGTATATTTATGGAGAACCTTATGATGTTTCAATCAATTTATGTATATGTTGTATAATGTTCAAATCAGGATAAACGAACACATCTATTTCTTTCTTTTCTTTCTTTTTTTTCTTTTTTTTTTTTTTTTGACAGGCAGAGTGGACAGTGAGAGAGAGAGAGACAGAGAGAAAGGTCTTCCTTTGCTGTTGGTTCACCTTCCAATGGCTGCCGCGGCCGGCGCACCGCGCTGATCCGATGGCACGAGCCAGGTGCTTCTCCTGGTCTCCTATGGGGTGCAGGGCCCAAGAACTTGGGCCATCCTCCACTGCACTCCCAGGCCACAGCAGAGAGCTGGCTAGGAAGAGGGGCAACTGGGACAGAATCCGGCGCCCCGACCGGGACTAGAACCCGATGTGCCGGTGCCGCAAGGCAGAGGATTAGCCTAGTGAGCTGCGGCTCCGGCCCACATCTATTTCTTTAAACATTTATCATTTCATTATGGTAAAAACAGTAAAAACAAAACTCATCCTTTTTTCAATATTTTTGGAAATATACAGTACACTATTATTATCTATGGTGTCCCCACTGTCTAAGAAAGCACCAGAACTTGTTTCTGCTAAATGTGACTGAATACCCACTGACCAGGTTTCCCCATGCTCTCCCCGGCCTCTGGTAACTGCTGTTCCACTGTGAAACCGATAGAATCGAAATTGTTGCTGGTTATTTTGTGTCCCTGGCCCTGAACTCAGAATCCTTGTGTGAACACCCTGCTGGCTGAACTCAAGTCTCTGTTCTGTAGGAGACTGTCCCAGGAGGTGGCCAAGTCCTGGCTCCAATCCAACTTCATGCAAAGGCATACCAATGGTGGACAGGCTCAAACAGCTATGTTTATTCCTGTGTGCATTAGAGTTTAGAAACTGAATTTCACATCCTTAGAGAGGCCTTTTCTGATCTGGAAAATGCAGCAAGGCCCCCTGCTTAATGCTTTCATAGCATCTATAACTTCTCTCTGGCACACTTGTATTTCTAATTAGTTTTGTGTATCTGTTCATTCTAGGTTTCTGTATCTAGATTCTGTGTTTGGAATTGCATGGACTTGTCTGTTTGGGTTGTTGCCTTATTTTTAGAGCAAATCATGGGGACTAACTTGTGTTAAAGCTCTATATGGGCATTCATCCCTTGGTATCCCTAGAGATTGGTTCCAAAACCCTCCATGGAGACCAAAATCTGCAAATGTTCAAGTGCCTTATATAAAATAGTGTGATGTCTACATATAACCTAGGCAATCCTCCAACGGACTTTAAATCATTTCTAGATAACTTATAATGCTTAAAACAATGTAAATGCTATGTGAATGTTGCCATACTGTAATGTTTAGAGAAAAATGTCTGTACCTGTTCCTGATAGATACAGTTTTTTGCTCCAAATATTATCAACCCACAGTAGGTTGACTCTGAGGATGCAGAACCCACGGATATGGAGGGTTGACTATCTGTTGGCCCTTCTCATTTCTACTTTCTTAAATTAGATCTCTAATTCATAGCTTCCCTTCACCCTTCACTGATGCTGACTTATGGATATTTTTTTCAAACCTACCTTCTAGTTTGCATTTCTCTATTCACTTGTGTCTAATAGACACAATTAATTATCATATTTATTGAATTCCTAATTTCAGTAACCTGATTTTCATTTCAAAATATTCTATTTGATTCTTTTTTTACTTTTAAAAATTTATATAAAGGGAACAAATTTTATGTATTCCACATAGGCAGTTTTAAGAGTATACTACTTCCCATTGTTTGAGATACTCAGCAGACTCATAGAATGGCGGATGTCCTAAATAGCACTCTGGCCTCAGAATCAGCCCTAAAGGCACTCGGATCTGGCTGAAAAGCCCATGAGAGTATTTCAGGCATGGAAAGCCAAGACACTCTGGCAAAAAGATCTCTGTGAGTGAGATCCCAGTGGAAAGAACAGGTCTTCAAAGAGGGAGGTACCTTTCTCTGAAGGGAGGAGAGAACCTCCACTTTGACTATGACCGTGTCTAAACAAGATAAGAGTCGGAGAACTCAAGGGGCTTCCATAGCCTTGGAAACTCATAACTGGTGCATAGGGAGATTACTGATGCCATAAACAGGAGTGTCAATTGGTAAAGTCAACAACAGGAGTCACTGTGCACTTACTCCTCATGTAGGATCTCTGTCCTTAACGTGCTGTACACTGAGGCTTAATGCTATAACGAGTACTCAAACAGTATATTTCACTTTGTGTTTCTATGGGGGTGCAAACGACTGAAATCTTTACTTAATGTACACTAAACTGATCTTCTGTAAAAAAAAAAAAAAAAAGAAAGAAATTATCAATTCCCAACTTGACTCTCACTGGGATTAAACATGACAATAGGTCAGATCTGATTTCATCATCATTTAAAAAAAATCATCTATTATTTTTCACTTTATGTTTCTGTGTGGGAGCAAACTGTTGAAATACTTACTTAAGGTATACTAAGCTGATCTTCTGTATATTAAGATAATCGAAAATGAATCTTGATGTGAATGGAAGGGGAGAGGGAGTGGGAAAGGGGAGGGTTGTGGGTGGGAGGGACGGTATGGGGGGGGGAAGCCATTGTAACACATGAGTCGTACTTTGGAAATTTATATTCATTAAATAAAAGATAAAAAAAAAGAGTATACTACTTCCCATTGTATTCTCCCTCCCCTTTCTTTTCTTATTTTTTCTTTCAATTTTTACAATAACATACTTTCAATTTAATTTACTTTTTGTTAAAAATTTATTTATTTTATTTGAAAGGAAGAGTTACAGAGAGGCTGAGGCAGAGAGAGAGAGAGAGAGAGAGAGAGAGAGAGGTCTTCTATCTGCTGGTTCACTCCCCAGATGGTCATAATAGCTGGAACTGTGCTGATCTGAAGCCAGGAGCCAGGAGCTTCTTCTGGGTCCCCTACGCGGGTGCAGGGGCCAAAGGATTTGGGCCATCTTCTACTGCCTTCGAGGCCATAGCAGACAGCTGAATCAGAAGTGGAGCAGCCAGGACTCAAAGTGGTGCCCATATGGGATACCAACCGGCATTGCAGGAGGCGGCCTTACCCACTATGCCAGAGTGCCGGTCCCTCCATTTACTTTATTTTTTAAATTTTTATTTATTTATTTATTTTTTTTACAGGCAGAGTGGACAGTGAGAGAGAGAGAGAGAGAGAGAGAGAGAGACAAAGGTCTTCCTTTGCCATTGGTTCACCCTCCAATGGCCGCCGCGGCCGCCGCGCTGCAGCTGGCACACTGCACTGATCCCAAGGCAGGAGCCAGGTGCTTCTCCTGGTCTCCCATGGGGTGCAGGGCCCGAGCACTTGGGCCATCCTCCACTGCACTCCCTGGCCACAGCAGAGAGCTGACCTGGAAGAGGGACAACCGGGACAGAATCCGGGGCCCCGACCGGGACTAGAACCCGGTGTGCTGGCGCTGCAAGGCGGAGGATTAGCCTAGTGAGCCACGGCGCTGGCCTCCTCTGTGGGTTTCTTTTCATAATCTAACATAGCCACAAGAATGTGTCCTTTGGGGGCTTCAGTATTATGAATCAGTCATAATTCTTTTGCTTGCACAGATTTCCCCTTATTTCTGCCAGCTCAAACATGAAAAATAGATGATTTTTATATTTCACCCACAATTCTTAGTTCTGTCTTATCAGGATAATTCTTTCCTAGCTATGCTAGGCATAGCTGTTTTTAATGAACATTTGTTGGTTGATGAATAAAATTACTTCTATGCTAATTAAAAGAGGTAATGTTTTCTCTCTTTTCCATTGCTGGGCCATGGTGCTCCACATTTGCAAAACTGTCATTCAAGATAGAAAAATGCAATGAGTAAGAAACTGTGTATACTATTTATATACTTATATAGTTTTATGTATACTATTTATTATATTTATGTATAATAAAATTATGTATACTATTTGCTGCTTAAGAGCAAACCTCAAAAACATCATTCAAATGTGGAATGAGATTTTCTGGGTATTAAAGGATAACTGGACCAAGGAATCCAGAATTATATTGGACATTGCCCTGGTCATTTTTCTCGATGCTCATCCCCCCCATCCTCCCTTCTCCCCCAGATGTAGGCCCTACAGGGCTTCTGTTCTCCCTCAACACTAGGTAAATAAACTGTAGTGTATCTTTTTTTTTTTTTTTTAAAAAAGATGTATTTATTTATTTAAAAGGCAGAGTTACAGAGAGGAAGAGTTAGAGGGGGAGAGAGAGCTCTTCCATACATTGGTTCATTCCCCAGTGGCGGCAACAGCCAGAGCTGGGCCAATCTGAAGCCAGGAGCCAAGAATTTCTTCCAGGTCTCCCACGCGGGTGCAGGGTCCCAAGGATTTGGCATTCCCAGGCCATAGCAGAAAGCTGGATTGGAAGTTGAGCAGCCAGGACTTGAACCAGCGCCCATATGGGATCCCGGCACTGCAGGCCGGGGCTTTAACCCTCTGTGCCACACCACCAGCCCCCTGTAGTGTATCTTGAGGCAAGACCAGAGGGTTCCAGTATGATTATCTTGAAGGCAAGGGACTGACAAAAGAGAAATGCGTGGAAAGACTGCAAACTAAAAGAAGGAGAGGAGAGAGAGAAAGGGAATGGGAGAGAGACAGCCACCTAAAACCATAACCTTTCATGACTTAGCTGTGGGAGTCACAGAGCAGCACTTCCACCATTTTTTATTGGTTGGAGATGTCCGTGTCCCTGCCTAGAGGAAAAAGTAGGGAACATAGACCTCATTCTCTCTCTCTCTCTCTCTCTCTCTCTCTCAAGATTTATTTCTTTATTTGAAAGGTAGAGACGTAGAGAGAGAGAGAGAGAGAGAAAGAGAGAGAAAATCTTCCATGTGCTGGTTCACTCCCCAGCACATAGCAGCAACAGCTGGGAATGGGCCAGGCTGTAGCTGAGAGCCAGGAGCTTCCAATATGGTGCAGGGCCCCAAACACTTGGGCCTCCTCTGCTGCCCTCCCCAAGCTCATCAGCAGGGAGATGGTTGGAAATGGAGCAGCCAGGACTTGAATCATTGCCTGTAAGGGATGCCGGCACTGCAGGTGGAAGGTTAATACTCTACGCCACAGTGCCCCAACCTCATCTCTTGATGGGAGGAATGCCAGTCCTATTACACTAAGAACATGTAGAATACAAAGTGTGGGACTCATATGAGTGGCTGTGTGTGTGTGTGTGTGCTGGTATGGACATCTTTGGGAAAAAAAACAATCTGCCACACATACACACATTGTGTGGTTGTTATAAACATGATATTACATTGGAAAACATCTAGCATAATGCCAGGGACTTGTAGTTGCTCCATATGCATTAATTCTCTTTCTTCTTGATTTTTTCCTTTTATATAAGAAGAATATAACACGTTTTTATTTTAAGGGGCACAAGATGGATGAGAAATAAAAACAGTGCTACTTTTCTTGAATGTTTTGCTATACTAAGTTGTCAGGTCAGTAAATACTCATTTTACAAACGAGGAAATCATGACTCAAAGCTGTTTAGTAATTTTAGTCTTAAACTAGTTTTGTAGGATGATTTTTTTGTTCTCCAGTTCTGTTTTAAATACTTTTAAACAAGTGTAACATAAAGGTACAGCTCAATGAGTTTTTGAGACTGAACACATCTGTACAACCAGAACTCTTATCAGACCCAAAACATTGCTGGGATCCTTGAAGCAGTCTTCATGTCTCTTCTTTTCTTTACTCTTGATTTCTTGGCCACGAGTAAAGGCTATCTGATGTATAACACTATAGGTTAGTTTCCTTGATTTTGTATTTTATTTAAATAGAAACAAAACTGTGTACTTTTTTGTACTTGGTTTCTTTTGCCTCATAATAGGTTTATGACATATATGTCTATATAGCATGGCTATATAGAGTTTTATATTGTTAATATCTTACCATTTATTACCCGATTGTTAGACATGTGGATTATTTTCAGTTTTTGGCTATTATGTACAATGAGGCTATGAACATATGTGGCATGTGTTTAAATAAACATGTATACTTATTTTATTGGATATACACTTAGTAGTGCATTGCTGGTTCAGAATGTATGAATATGCCCAAGTTTATTAAGTACTACTAAACAATTTAATCTATCCATCTAAATGTATCCAACAGTGTATTGCACTAATGTCTATTCCTGGTACCAGTCTCATCTTTTACCTTTATTTTTCCTTTTTATCTATTTTAAGCAGGTGACTAGGGTATTTCTTTGCTTTAGGATTTTTGGGTAGGTATAAATCAGAAGCAGCTTGCATTCAATACTCTTCCCAATTCTGAAGCCAAGATCTATTGAAGAGACAGCATTGCCTGTTCAGCAGTGTAAATTCAGTATTTTGAGGGCAAGGAGGGAGAAGTACAGACTGTGTCAATAAGGAGATAGAAATCAGAGAGTCTAGGAGACTTCTGGGGTCAGAGGACCTGAATAGCTGCCTATGCTCTTTTTAGTAGGGCAACCATATAATTTGTTATCCAAATCTGACACTTTTGAGAGTGAAATGAGGTGTGCTATTAGTAATTATTCATGGATAATTGGTGTAAATTAGGACTGTCCTAGGAAAAATTGGGATTATTTTAGGCAGCTGCAGTGGAAATTTATAAGTGAAGTGCTTTTATGATTTGAATTCTTGTAAGAGTATATTCATAGAACAGATCATATAAAGAATAACTTTGTCATCTGAATAATGATAGGATTAAACCCTCAGGTACATCTGTTGCTGTACCTTAAGACTGCACATCTATAGAGTAACTCCATGCAGGGTATGTGTGTGTGTGTGTGTGTGTACTTCCTGGCATGGGTGTTGTGATATTTTGATCTCCTCATATATAGTAAAGGCCTGTCTGTGTCCTTTAGTAGAACTGAGAGTAGGTGGTGTCTGTGGAGGTGGTGGTGTGGTGTCTCTACCATTCTGAGCAGCTCATGGTCCTAAAAGTATTTTGTTTGAGGTGCTCTCTGTAGCTCCTACAACCTGGATTTTTTTTTTTAAATATGGTTCTACTCTCAAAGCTCCCTTTGAAAAATTGGAAATGGTAGCAAAAATGTGACCATTCTGTCTTGAAGTCAATTATAGGCTCTAAGAGTTAGTGAAAGAAGAAGATGAGCCTATAAACTCAGGACAGAATGACATGAAAACCCTGGATTAAAGGGGAACTTAGAGTATAACCTTGACTCCTAATAAATGATATAAGCATCTGATTCAGGCTACAAACAACAGCACAGTTTCTCCCCTCTAGAGACTGATCCCAGAGGCATTCCCAGGGGAAACTTTCTAAGCAGGTCCCTGAGATCATCAAGTGGCTTAAAGTTCCCCCTTGTCAAGCTTGTGAAGTTCTGGTGAGAATGAGGGTTGCTAGGTTTTTTTTTTTTTTTTCCTCACACAGTTGTTGAAGACCACCTGGGAAAATTCACAAACAGAAGCCTTTATCTGTTCCTCAAGCACCTTGGAAACTGGGTCTGTAAAAGCTATGTTTCTCAGCACCAAGGTCATCAGAAAAGTCTGCACGTAAGGCTTTTCACTGGCTGCACCACCGTCTGCTAACAGAAAACAACATAGCATAAGGCCACGCATTGAAGAGACCGAGCTGGGAGAAGAAAGGTGAAGATCTGAATCCCAAGTTTCCTGATGGTTTTATTTTAAACTCACAAGCAAGGGCTCTGGAAAACATTGATATCTTCCATACCCTTGACACTGACTCTGAGGTGAGGTGAGGTGGAATGAAGGGGTTTAGAGGAGAAAGGCAAGAGGTACAGAGCTGGCAGGGGGCACTCCCGGCTCTCCCTCTCGGTGGGAACCGGATATGAAGTTGGGAGAAGGAGGCAGAGAATGCAAGGACACAACATGGGAACTCTCTCTCAGAGTTGAGGCAGTGAATTTCTGGATCTTAGGGTGTCTTTCTGAGAATCCTTGGGCAGCCAGTTGAAGTATGTTTTCTACTCACCGCTTAAATGAAACTAGAACTCTTGCTTCCTGTGCTAATACACGTTAGCTTAATTCATGGTCCATGCAGGGGAACTCAGCTACTGTTATAGAAACGTTGTCAATAGCTTAGGATGGGGAGGGCTGTTTATGAGGGAAGAAAGGCAAAAGAAAAAGATTATATGTGTACTGGCTCATCTCCTAGAACCTTCTTCCACTCACTGCACTTGTCACTGTCATCACTCTTTGTGCTTTGTCCTTGTTTCCCCAGACGACTCTCCTGAGAGAATGACTTTGAGAAACAACTCCTCTGTGACCATGTTTATTCTTGTGGGATTATCAGAACCGTCAGAGCTCCAGCTCCCCCTGTTTTTCCTGTTCTTGGGGATCTACATGCTCACCATGGTGGGCAACATGGGTTTGACCATCTTAATTGCACTGAATTCCAGCCTTCACACCCCAATGTACTTTTTCCTCTTCAACTTGTCCTTTATAGATCTCTGTTATTCTTGTGTGTTTACTCCCAAAATGCTGAATGGTTTTGTATCAGAAAATACAATCTCTTATGTGGGGTGCATGACTCAACTGTTTTTCTTCTGCTTCTTTGTCAACTCCGAGTGTTATGTGTTGGTCTCGATGGCCTATGATCGCTTTGTGGCCATCTGCAACCCTCTGCTGTACACAATTACTATGTCCTCTCGGCTGTGCTCTTTGCTGATGCTTGGCTCATATGTGATAGGATTTGCTGGGGCCATGGCCCACACGGGCAACATGCTGAGACTGACCTTCTGTGATTCTAATGTCATTGACCATTATCTGTGTGAAGTCCTCCCTCTTTTGAAACTCTCCTGCACCAGCACCTGTGTCAATGAGCTGGTGTTTTTCATTGTCGTTGGAGTGGTCATTACAGTATCCAGTATCAGCATTTTCATCTCTTATGCTTTGATTCTTTCCAACATCCTCCGGATTCCTTCTGCTGAGGGCAGATCCAAAGCCTTCAGCACATGTGGCTCCCACCTAACTGCTGTTGCTTTGTTTTTTGGGTCAGGAGCGTTTGCCTATTTAACCACCTCTTTTCCTGGGTCTATGGCTCAGGGCAAGTTAGCATCAATATTTTACACCAATGTGGTTCCCATGCTTAATCCTTTGATCTACAGCTTGAGGAATAAAGATGTTAAACTTGCCCTGGATAAAACTTTGAAGAGAGTGCTCTTCTAACGCGTCTGTTGGAATCTTTGGTGATTAATTCCTGTTAAACTTCATACCCTAGTACCCTTTTATCTACAGGTAATTTTAATTTATTTCCTCAAACAGGGCATTTTCTCTACTTAGATAAATGGAACTCTCTTGCCTATAGTCTTCTTCAGAATTATATCATTTTGTACCACTTAACTAGGCTCACTGAATGCAACTTAGCATCTATTAACTTCCTAGAGTTTACTAGATTCTATCTTAGGTCGAAAAGATGAATGAAATGAGACTCCAATGCTTTGCATTTTTTCCTTGGTAGGCTGAATGAGTTTGTCTAAGTAAGAACATTTCTGGCTGAGAGAAGAGACAGGTCATTGTATGAGAATCTAGTTTGAGCAGTCTTACCAAAGACCAAAGGTAGATTCCTTAGTGCCAATCTCCCAAATCTTAGAGGGTTTGCTTGCCAAGGGATTGTAAATCCTGGCCTTTATATACATATATATACACATAAAAGAAGGCCTCACTCAAGAAATTCATATGGCTTGATGTATAAGGATAAATCAAAGCCCAAATCTTTTACTTCTCAGTTTCAAACTTTGTGGGCCTTGGGATGATAACTGGAGACAAATCCAATCTTGCAATTAGACAAATTTCATAGGTTTTATGGGTCTCAGGGTGAAAGGGAGAACAAAGAATTTTCATGGATTTGCATGATTATGTAGCATGTTATCTCAGTCCTGCTCTGAAGATATGGTGTACATTATGGAGTTTTTAGGAAATTTCTTTTATTTTTTAAAATTGATTTAGATTGGATTGTGTGTGTGTGTGTGTGTGTGAGAGAGAGAGAGAGAGAGAGAGAGAGAGATTAACCACTGGAGAAATTAAGAAGAAAGTGGATTCATATTATACTCCTCACTCTTAGGGGTACCAAAAGTGATTTGCATTTTGAGTGCCAAAGGCAATTCTGTACTGCTCTGCTATACATTCTGCTATTTTAGTTTGAATAGTTGAGAATTCAGTAAATATAACTCCCATTAATTGCTGTGTGTGTAGGGAGGAAGGTGAATTTAGGGCCAGTGCAGTTCATGTGGAGATATAAGAAAGTGGAATCTCACATCATGGCAGAAGAATGAGCACTATCTGAATAGAGGGTAGAATTTGAGGTTGTCTTGAGGTGAGCCCCCAATGAAAAATATTTGGTGCTTATCTTTTGGGTATGGGAAGAGTCAAATGAAGGTACTGAGTCTGTCTTTTGCTTTGCTTGTAACTCTCTATTCCATAAAATTGAGCAATTCCACAGTGTGTGTTGGTGCAAGAAACAAGGCTGCAATGGGAAGTCTTCTCCCTATTTACTTCTCTGCTGGCACTGGTGTGAAAGTGCAGCGTTCTAGGTGCAAACAACAGTGAGACATCCACGGGGGGTGCTGAGAACTGCACAGAGGAGCACCTGAAGCATGGGCTGATGAATGAGCAGCCAAGAGACAAATTATATTTTCTCCTATTTATTAAACGGAGGAGATCTTTGAAGAAGAAGAACTCTGATACTTCAGTTACATGTAAATTGTCATAATAACGATACTCAGCGTTTACCTAGCATGCTCATATATATGTGCACTGTTTGAGGTGCCTTACGTATATTAACTCACTTGTTGCAATTGAATTAACACCTTGTTCACTGCTAGTCAACCCTCTGGGCCTCACTGAATCCCACCCTCTAGGACTGTTTGTGTCTAGGCCCACCCATTAGGAAAAAGTCAATAAAGAGGAAGAACAAAAGTGATTCTACGCTGCTATAAAAAATAAATAAATTGCTATTTGGTAAAAACAAGTAATAAGTTAAGGCATAGGATATGCCAGTGTTATAGCATAGCAAGTTAAGTTGCAGCTTGGGATGTCCACATCCTGTATCAGAATGCCTAGGACAGAATCCCACCTCTACTTACAGTACAGTTTCCTGCTAGTGTGCAAGGGAGGCAGGAGATGGTGGCCCAGGTACTTGGGTTCCTGTCATCCACATGGGAGACCTGGATGAAATTCTGAGCTTCAGCCTGGACTAGCCTGAGATGTTGCTGGCACTGGGGAGTGAATCAGCAAGTTGAAGAGCTCTCTCTCCCTCTCTCTCTCTCTCTCTCTCTCTCTCTCTCTCTCAGTAACTCTGCCTTTCAAATAAATGGCTTAAAATGTTTATTTTCATGAAAAAAAATGTTGAATCCCATGCACACCTTTTTTATAATAAGCATTTTCCATGAGATTTATAAAGATATTTTATTTGTCTGAGTGGTGTGGGTTGAGGAGAGAGAGGGAGAGAAAGAGAGGAGAGATAGAGCTCATGACAAGAGCCTTGGGTGATTACTGACGTCATAAATAAGAGTGTCAATTGTTAAATCAACAATAGGAGTCACTGTGCATTTACTCCCCATGTAGGATCTCAGTCCTTAATGTGTTGTACTATGTGAATTAACGATATAATGAGTACTTTATACTTTGTGTTTCTGTGTGGATGCGAACTGTTGAAATCTTTATTTAGTATATACTAAATTGATCTTCTGTATATAAAGATAATTGAAAATGAATCTTGATAAAGAATGGGATGGGAGAGGGAGTGGGAGATGGGATGGTTGTGGGTGGGATGGATGTTATGGGGGGGAAAAGCCGCTATAATAAAAAAGTTGTACTTTGGAAATTTATATTTATTAAATAAAGTAAAAAAATAAAGAGAAACCTGAGCAGTGGGACTCGAATTAGAGTTTGTATACGTTGCCAGCATCACAGGTCGTGGCTTAACCTGCTGAGCTACACCGCTGGTCCCCTCTATTACCTTGGTGTTAGGCAGTCTCTTTTAAGCTACTTTAAATCAAAGTAAAATAAAAAATTGTAGAATGGCTAGAAAAAGCAGATAACTGTTTATTCTGTTAACAAACAGGACAATGAAGGTAAATGAATCTGTACTTAGTAGGTCTGGAAAAGAGTCATAATAAAACCAACTAAAGAAAGACAAGTAGAAATCAATACACTTTAAAAATGGAAATATTGAATTGGGAAAGCAGAAAAATAACTGAGTTAGTAAAAAATTTAACAGCTTGTTTTTAGAGAAATGAATGAAATATCTCAACTGCTGGGTATCCTAATTCAGAGAAAGAGGAGATAACAAATAAAAAAGTAGGAGAAAAGGGGAATAATCATAAAGGAAATAAAAAAATTAGGTTTTTGTCAGCCTTAGTTCAAAGAATTTAAAAGCTTGGATTGAAGAGACCATATTTTAGGAAAACATAATTGAACAACATGATTTCTGGATGGGATAGAAAAATCAAAATATTACAATTCTACAGAAGTAGTAAAATTGTTAAAGAGTTCTATCACTAAAACTGCCAGACCCAGATGGTTTCACAGAAGAATTCTAACAACAAACAGATAATTCTGATACTGTCTGAACGGATTCAGAGCCTAGAAACCTCAAAAAAAAAAATCTCTTCAAAATTGCGTTTACACAGGGAGAAAAAAAAAAATCCAAAACTCTGAAAAGATTGCATTAAAAACTACGTACAAACCTTACTTATAAATATCAGCACAAAATTCTAAATGAAATATTTGCAAGCATTTAGCAAGAAAAAACAGAGTAATTCATCCAATCCAAGCGGGGTTTATTCTGGGGATTCATATGGGGTTCAACATCAAGAAATCTACTAATATGATGTATTTATTGATAAAGCTGAGGAGAAAAATCATGTGATCCACACCATTGATGCTAAAAGAATTTTTTGGGTTGAATTTATAGTCAATTTTTGATTAAATGCACTTCATAAAATAGGATTTATGGAAATAATTTTATTTATACATCTTTTTAAAAAAAATCAAGCTAGAACTGAAAGTCTTGTTGGTTTTTTCCCATTTGCTTTTATTTCCAAGGACTTACACTGTTTGTCAAACTACCTTCCACTTTGGACAAAATTCATAGAATCGTATTTATGGTAGTATAACTGTAATACAATTATGGTATATTAAGTGAATTGCCAAACTACCTTCCACTTTGGACAAAGTTCATAGAATTGTATTTCTGGTAGTATAGCTCCAATACAATTATGTTATGTTAAGTGCATGTTATGTTAAGTGAATCTGAAATAAAATAATTCACTTTTTCTTCTTTTATATTCTAGCTGTTTGTGGACAAATATCCTTGGCTTCGTGCATCCACAGACTAGTCTGTCTAAGCTCAGGATCAAAGGACTAGCTACAAGAGTGAAATTTCTTTGTTTTCCTAACTGTAAAAAGAATCTATTATTCCTGAAACTGTATGGAGTGGATTGAGTATCTTCCCAGGCAACTCCCATTTGTCTTTTGCTTCTGAGGCAGAAATAGCACACTCCTGCTGGTTATCTTCTTTCATCAAGGCGCAAATGAAGATTCAGTTAAGGAATCTGCTAAAGCCATCAGAATGTGGCAGATCCCACTTTAGTTAAGCCCATCTTTGTCTGGTTCCAGCTGCAGGGGTTCTGCACTAATACACAGTGCATTCCAGGAAGGAATGGAAAGAAATAGAAACATGAAATAGAGAAATGGGAGAATAGAAATCAGCAATTGAGAGATGATTGACAATCAACATGAAAAAGAGGGTAGTAGTAAAGATGGTGTCCCATGTCCTTATGTGAGAAATATTCTGTAGTGATTTCAATGCCAAAGTGGACACATGCAAATATTCTTGATAACTTTGTCCAAAGAGCAGAATAAATACAGTTAGTTGATACGAAGAAACATTCAATCATGCCTTGTTTTCAATATTAGCACTTACAAGGTTGAAAGATGGTCTAGCTTTATTCTGGGCTTATACGTCTCTCCAGAGATTGTATATAGTTAAAATTCATTGTCAACTAATTTTATATGCTGAAATAAAATAAAGTACAACAAATTTAATAATGCAATTGAATAATACAAAATATTCTGGGGAGAACTTATAAAAAATCTTTTTGACAACATTTATTCTAAAATGAAAGAGAAGTTATTCCTGTGGATCTGGGAGATTTGTAAAATTGAAATTGTCACCAAATAGGGTTGGGCACTTAGTCTAGTAGGTAAGATGCCCGCATCCCTCATCACAGGACCTGGGTTCAATTCCTGGCTCCAGTCTGACTCTAGCAGCATCCTGCTAAAGTAGACCTTGGGAGGCAGCAGTGCTGGCTCTGCCACATGTGAGACCTAGATTGCATTCCTGGCTTTGGCTTTGACCCTGGCTTTGCCCTAGATGTGGGCATTTGGAGAGGCAACCAGCTGTCTATGCCACCCTGCCTCTCAAATAAGTAAAAATTTAAAAATTCACCTGATTATTTTAACCTGGTTTCAAACACTATTTGATAGAAACACATTTATTGTTGGTTGATAAAAATATTCAATCATGCCTTGTTTTCAATATTAAAATTTCACATTTAGATCCTAGATTATATTGATAAGCAGAACATAAAAACTACCAACATCTATTATATAATCATGAATTCATGACAGCATTCATTTGGCAAATAATTATTGGGCTGTTAATATATTCTAGGTTTTGGAATGGAGCAGTGAGCAAAACAAGAAATACTTGGAGCCAGTGATGATCCTGTCGTATTGGAATTATTTGTTTATACTTGTGTATTTTATTTATATTGTGATTGTCAAGTCTTAGCCATTACTCCTTCCACTACCCAACAAAGACATTGTCCAATATGTTTTGCAAATTGAATATATTCCAACTGTTTAATTAATTTTGCTCTAAAGAATACTTTTTATTTTTAAAAAATTGTGTTTCGATGAGTTTAATTTTTATAAAAGGAGTTATAGAAGATCCATGAGTTTACATTTTAGGGGCCTAAGATACAAAATATGAGTCTCATGAAATATTCTTTTTCATTTATAATTTTTTTTTTGGTTTAAAAATGTTACTGAGTCACTAGCACAACCTGGTGGATACTTAAGTGAACTACCTGGCTTAGTATTTTTAGTTTCTCTTTTGAGTTGTGTCTCCTTGTACTGGTCAGGCATTTATTGTTTTACATTTAAAAATACATAAAATTTTGAGTGTTGTAATTAAAATTTGGCCTAGTGATTAAAATGCTTACATCCTATTCTGGATTACCTGAATTCCACTCCTGGCTCTGGTTCCTGACTCCAACTTCTGGCTAATACAGACCCTGGGTGGCATTGGTGATGGCTCAAGTAGTTGTTTCCCTGCCACTTGTGTGGGAAACTTGGTTTGAATTCCTGACTCTCAGCTTTGGCCCAGCTGTTGCAGACATTTGAGGACTAGACCAGTGGATTGGAGTGCGTGTACATACATTTTCTCTTTCTCTCTCTCAAAAAAATCATACAACACTTTTTTTGTATAACCAATATATGTGCTGTGAACTGATCTTCTAATAACCATGTGGGTAGAACATTTGTTTCCTGCAAATAGTTAATTTCTCAACAGAAAGAAGACTGATACTGATACACACTTTTAAATTATAATTCTGACATCTCACAGAAATTTAATAAATATTTTGTGAATTAAAACTATGGTTTTACTTGTTTGCAACCTTTTAAAGTGTTTGTGAATTTTTCAGGTGATTGATGTCCACTTAATGGATCTGGGAAAATTATCTTTGTTGGATTCGTGCTATCTACAGTGTGAGGCATTGGACATGCCCTTTGTTCAGGTGACCATAACTAAAAATATCCAGGCAGAAGTGAATGAGCTTCTACCAGAAATGCTTTAAAGATATTTTACCACGCATGGGGGGCAGGGTTGCACTGACGACCTCTGATCCTGAGATTTGAAAACAAGAAATGATTCATTAAAACACATAATTTCCATCTGCTTGTACCTCCGCAAACTAATGCAAGAATTCAATTCCTGTGAAATTCCTTGTAAGATTTCCAAGCCTTCAGAAGGATCTGGTTGTGCCCAGGAACTAGTCATCTGGTGCAGCTCCCAGACATCCAATGACCTCGTCTCCTGCGGCTTCCTCCCCCTCTCAGAGTGGGAGGACACACTCGGCCCTGGAGGCAGGGGTGGGGTGAGGTTAGTGCTCCTGCAGCCCTCTCTGTCCAGGGCTTAGAGAACAGTCGCTGGGAATACAGATACATTCTCCAAGGCTCTGTGACCAGATCCTGAACAAATTCCTCATTCTCATTGACTGGTTTCAGGATACTGGCCACATTTTCTCCTCTTTTCCCTTTTACTTATTATCTGAATAAATGCTCCTTAGTGCTTACTGAACACCAATGAGACGCTGCATTTGGCACTGGATATGTGGCATGTACTATGTGGACAACTTAAAGGTCTCATGGAGCATCTACCCCAGCAAGTACATGTGGGTGTGAAATGGACCAGCTCTGCATGAGCTCATGCAGCCCATCTCTTCACCAGGGCCTTGCACATTGTGAGTCTCCTTTGGGGTCATCTAGACTTTACTGGATTTGGTAAGGAGCACAATCTTTTTATTTTAAAGATTTATTTTATTTATTTGAAAGTCAGAC